GTGCTCTGGTCCATGGGGTCACGAAGAGTCGGACACGACTAAACGACTAAACAACAACATCAAATGCCTCCTTGCAGCAGGGTAGGATTTTTGTAGAACTTTTGTAATTCTGTGCCTACCCTCCCCTTCTTGGGCCTGACATCGAGGTGACGCGAGGAGGCGGGGAAAGGCGCAAATGTAGCCAATGGCCTGCGCCTCCAGTCGTTGCTAGGAGACGAGAGTCAACAGCTTCGGCCGGCCTCTGCTAAAGGAGGTCGCGCCAAAACTGAGGCGGGGAGAGCCATGGAGCCCGGAAAGGGAGGCAGTCGCCGCCTGGCAACTCCCCAGCATAAAGCGGACTTGGAACTGAGGTGCGAAGGGGGCCGCGGGTGGGTGCGTGATGGCTTGCGGGAGGCCTGGGGGGGGAGGGAGCCCCATTCGGGGTGATGGGGCTCTCGCGTTGCGCTTTCCCTCCCCAGGAGGACGGCAGGGTCAAGCGGCATCTCCGCGAAACGTCTCTGGAGCCCAGCCTCGGGTCCTCAAGGAGAGAAGCGGGCGGGCTGTTCCCAGCGAGCGATTGGCTGGGGAAGTTTCCTTCCATTCCCCCCAAACTCCAATGCTCTCNGTCGACCCCGTTTCATTAGGGCCTGCGAGCGAAGCTGGTCCTTTAGAGCCTGCTCCTGTTCTTAAAGGCAGGGCTGGAATGGGGGGGGGCACATCGCGATGACAGTGGAGGTGAAGCGCTCCCCTCAAAACGTGTCCCATATTTATATTCTGTGGCTGGGGGTTCAAGCTGGAGGGGATCACACGAGGAGCCCATAGGTAAGGGGGCAGGCAAGAATAGGCTGGCTGGGCATAATCCAAGGCTGAGGGGGGAAATGTCCGATTTCCCTTAATGGAGCAGCTACCGCTGTCTGTGGTACAGGAATGCCTGTTCTGAAAGTAAAAAAAAATAAGAATGCAAACAGAAGCAGCATGATTTTGCCCTCTGGCAATAACAGCTTTCAAAGAGAGAGCCATGTTATGTTTTCTGTGTCATCACAGAGCACAAAATCAGCAGAACCTTTCTTTCACGCTGTCCAGTCCTCTATGCTGAAAAATAACTGTAATTATTTCAACATGCCATATAAACTTGCCCTTCTCTTTCTCTCCAAGCTGGGTTCAGGGATTCACCAACAGGAATGTGGGCTTTGTCAACAACATGACTGTCTGTTATCCTTGTGGCAATTATGTCATTTTTATCAACACTGATACCCGAAACCGGTCCTTCTTGAGGTGTCCCCATGGAAGCATAGGAGCCTTTGCAGTCAATGGGAGCCAGCATGTAATTGCTTTTTCTGACAAGCAGTTGAATCCCGTAATCTATATCTACAATTTTCCAACACTAAAGAAAATCGCCAAATTAAAAGGTAGGTTTGGAGATTCAATCAAAATAATCTTGAAGTAACAAATGGAGTGGGGGAGATATTTTATCAGTGCTTTATTGAAAATATGCATGTAGCATTAAGATGTGCAAAGATCAGCCAGGTAAAGGATTAACAGTCATATTCCAGTGTTGCTTTGTTTCTCAGAAAACCCAGAGATCTCAGCCATTGCATAAACTAATCCTTTCATAGACTGCTTAAAAAAATATGAAATTCAGCTGTTAGCTAAATAGAGATTACACAAAAATATATATATAAGAATGATAATGCATGATTTTATAATGAGGCAAAAATGTCCCTTAGACAGTCCAGGGTAAAAAAATATAAATAATCCAAAAATGAAGAAAGGTGGAATGAGGGATTTGCCAAAACAATCAGAAGTAGTCTAATAAATGTCTTTGTAATAAATATGTTGATATATTTCAGTATGCTGTGTGTGAGACTGTCATTCAAGACTGCCTGAAACTTGGTCTATTTTTTCAAAATGTTATCTGCCTGTTGGCAGAAGAACATCAAGTTAGCACAATACACTGGTGCTAATAAAGCTGCATGGTGTTGAGCACGGTTCAAAGTCTTTTCACACATATCACTTAAGGAAATAATTTATCTCCTACTCATCTTCTTACATATAAAGATTCTAGAAGGAGGCTTTGGTCCAGGGACTCCCTTTGACTATTGTAGTTTAGAATTTTCTAAACAATAATATTTTCTTTGCCACTCTCTCTGTAAGGAAGCCTGACCAGCTAGTTCTGCTTTTCTTTTCCTGAAACCAGTGAAGGCTTTTTAATGTTGGCTACCATTGAGGGTGGAAGATGGGGTGAGGCAACTACTATTAAAAGGTTACAGTAAAGCACACTAGAGAATAAGCTATGAGTACTGTCTCATAAGACTATTGAGTTCCGTCTGAACTGTAATTAGCAGTTTTGGTGGGGAGGGCTTTACTATCCTCTTGGTTAATCTTGAGTCACATAAAACTTCCCAGTGCAGAGAAATGGTAAAAAAAATGGAGACAAACATCTTGGTAGGACATGTCGTGGCCATGGTGGTTCTGCACTGCATCTGCCTGTTCTGTGTGTTGTTTTTCTTTTTTCTGTCTGAGGAGGAGACACTGGTAGTAGAATACATGCCTGTGCCAAATATTAGCTGGTGGATTCATATCCTTCCAGTACCAAATTTTTTCACCTTCTAGATTTCGGCACCGTGGGGCAAAGTTTTATTTTGGTTACAATTCTTCTGAATAAATTTGTTTATGATTGCACAACATGTTAAGCTTTTAATCATTCTGATTTTTTAAAAATTTTACTTGTTTTATCATTTAAGTAATTGTAATGATGTCAACAAAGCTGCACTTTGATTGTCATTGTTTCTTCTCATATGTCCTAAGGTAACTGAGGCCATGTGATAGTGAAATATAGATTGTTAAAAAGCATCTGCAGATCATGAGCATGTTCCACTGAAGCATTATGAAGGTGGCTCCTGAGAGATTCTCTTTTTAATTAAAATGGGCCTGGGTTGTATGCCATGTATGAAAGATTGGAGACATAGTTTATAGGCAAAAGAACCATGGCTTATAGTATTTCTAAATGCATTTAATGTGAATGTATGTTTGAGGCACATGGCATTAAAGGAAGTTTGTAATGGACACTTGAGCTAACTATATCTACCATACAGCGCCCCCCATGCACACTCAGAAGTGAGTGCTGTAAGCCTTATTCCCAACAAATGAGTACAGGATTACAATCCTAAAGCTGAACTTTAAAGATAATTCATTTGTGCCTTTAAAATGGAGCATAGATTTTTACTAAGCACTTTTTGATGTCTACTTCCTAGATGTCATAAAAGGTTTCACTTTAAAATTGATTATCTCCTGTCTGTGATTTCAAGCAAATCCAAAACAAAACTTTGTTTTGGACCTCACAAACAATCTTAGTGTTGCTGCTGCTTGAAGTAGAGTTAGTGCTCGCTCCAGATCCTTTAGTAAGATTCATTCATGGATTTCCTCATTGAATGGATCTGCTTGATGTACTTAAAATTCTTTCACATGTACAGTCTGTATAATTACTCAAAGCACAATGTGAGCGGAAATGCTGCTGTGTCTCCTCTTCTTTGCCAGTGCTTGTATGCTTAGAGGGGATTGCTGAACAGGTGGTGAAAGCCAAAAGGAGAACAGGGGTGGGGCCTCCAGGGTACATCTGTGGCCCCCTTGCTGGGATGTGGGTCATGGCAGGTGCCAGCAATTCCTAAACCTGACATTAGCCTTGAGAGTCATCTTTTGTTTTCCAACTTGGAAGTCGAGATGTAGGCATGCCCAGGGTATAAACCAGTCAATCAAAAGGCTTAAAACTTGGTTCAGTGGACAGCTTTTTGTGCTAAGCAGAAGATACACATGTATCACTTTGTTTCTTGTTCCTAGTCATTTGTATTTTATGTACAAGTGTTTCATGTTGTTATTTATGTATCAAACTGCTCAGCCATCTTTCTGTAAACAAGGTACATCAGCAGAATGACAGCACATATAATGTGCTGTAAAATAGATGATAGATAACAGTGCCATAAAAGTCAAAATTCTGATCAACAGCATTTATCTTGTTGAAATAGAATGTTCTTCATAGTTATTTAAAAGCTGAAACAGAATAGAAAACATGCCCCATAAATGACCACTTAAGAGAGTTCACAGAGGAAGTAAATAAGGAGTTGTTATTAGCACCTTAAAAACTGAAAAAGCAGAGAAGCACACATTTCCTAAAAAGTGGGCTGATAGTTATATAATGAACAAATATTTTATATATTAAAGATATACAATAAGCATATTCCTCAGCATGTTTGCTCAGAAATAACTCCCGTGAATAAGTGCAAAGGATTTTATTCTCAGGTAAGGTATATCTCCTAGGGACGTGGTGGCGCTGCAGGTTAAACCGTAGAAGCCTCTGTGTTGCAAGGTCAGAAGACCAGCAGTCATAAGATCAAATCCACACGACAGAGTAAGCTCCCATCACTTGTCCCATCTCTTGCCAACTTAGTAGTTCGAAAGCATGCAAATGCGAGTAGATAAATAGGTACCACGACAGTGGGAAGGTAACGGCGTTCCGTGTCTAGTCGTGCTGGCCACGTAATCACAGAAACTATCTATGGACAAACACTGGCTCTACAGCTTGGAAACGGGGATGAGCACCACCCCCTAGAATCGGACACGACTGGACTAAATGTCAAGGGGAACCTTTAGCTTTACCTAAGTGATATCTCAGTGGAATATAAGAGGCAGCCGCTACAGTATCTTTCTTGGCCCGGTTAAGAGCAGAAATCCAGAGTTTGTGTTCTGCTAGTAGAACTGGCAGGATTTAATGGAGCTGGGAGGGGGCAATTCACTCTCCTCCTTCAGCCTCCTATGCATCCCCAGATCTGGAGGGCTTGGAAAGCCTCTGAAACCAATTTTCCAGCAGCTGGGAAGGCTGAAGCCAGGAAGGTGGGAAACACAGTGCTGCTGTGACTGCCGACCGTCCAGTCAGAACATACTGAACAAGATGTTTAGTTACAGTTTTCCACTTGGAAGTAAGAAGCAGAGGTTGGAGAGAAGCAATTTGGAGCACTGGCTGCTCTAACTTCCCATTACTTTGGAAAGAGGGAGCACAGTGATATGGTGTTAAACATGAGAGATGGTATATAATTCGCAGTTTATAATGGGTAGCATAGATAAAAACAATGCTGTTTTATATTTTAGGACAAGCTAGTCTAGACTACTCCTTGCTTGCATTCAGTCATGCAAGTCCTTACCTGGCCAGTTACTCCTCACTCCCAGAATTTTCTCTTTCAATATGGTAAGTATTGGACACATCATTTGAATATGGATAGGGATATATTCATGTTGCTGATGAATTGGTTTCTAGCTCTTCATAGCTAATTTGGCACATCAGAAAAAAAAATCTCTTTTGCTCTTTCATTGCTACATATATAAATCTACATGCATCTGTTCACATATATGCAGAAGCAGGCACATAGCCGAAACACATACTCTTCCGTCTGCAAAATGTGTTAAGTTTTTTTGTTCATGAGCAAGCTAATGCTTAGTCACTCCTGCTTGGCTGCCCAGGAACTCATCAGAATGTAAAGGCTTTAGCTGTGCATTCGAACCAGAGCTGGAAGCAAGGATTAGAAGATGGCTTCCAGATCCAGGCTTGTTAGAGGCACAACAAGGCAGAATCTAGGTTTAAACTTAATGCCAAGCTTTTCACCCTGATAAACTTTTGGTTAGTTGGCTGTTCCAACTTGATGAATTGGACAATATGTACCAGTGTACATTCTTGAATAGAGGCTGTGCCCCAATGCACCCAGATTCTGACTTAGCATTTTGTGCAAACAGAGCATTCTATACGCCTTGTCCAAAATATTATCTTTTGCCTTAAAAAATGACAGTTTAAATTCATTCCATTAGAAAAGAAATATGTAAATCAAAATGATACTTCATCCACAGCCAAAAAGCACTACTATCCAGCAGTCTTTGAGAACTTCTTTGATCATATACTGTGGAAATCAGAATTGGCCATTCATAATGCTTATATTTTGATTGCATAATCAGTCCAGAAACTCTGAAATCAGTTGCTTGTTATTGTTGTTATCTCCCATCAAGTCAGAACTGATTTATAACAAACCTAATAGGGTTTCCAAGATAGGTGAGATGTTTAAGTAGTGGGTTTAGCAGTTCCACACTCCCAGTGAGTTTGTATGCCAGATTTGGAAGTCAAACCCAGCCTTGGTGCATCATTCTATCCACTACACCATACTGGGTATGACATACCATCATATTTCTTCATATTTTAAGGCATTTACAGATCATTAGTTGCAGCAGGCTTTTAGTGGCTTAGCTGATCTGTTTTCTTTGCTGCTGTTATTGTTTTTACTTAGTATCTTCTCAGGATTTGTACCAGATAATCCATCTTTGTTTCATTTCTAGACAGTATTATAGTATATGTTGTTGTTATTGCTGTTGTTTAGTTGTTATGTTGTGTCCGGCTCTTCGTGACCCCATGGACCAAAGCATGCCAGGCCATCCTGTCTTTCACTGCCTCCCGGAGCTGGGTCAAATTCATGTTGGTAGTTTCGATGACACTGTTCCACCATCTTGTCCTCTGTCGTCCACTTCTCCTCGTGCCTTCACACTTTCCCAACATCAGGTCTTTTCCAGGGAGTCTTCTCTTCTCATGAGATGGCCAAAGTATTGGAGCCTCAACTTCAGGATCTGTCCTTCCAGTGAATGCTCAGGGTTGATTTCCTTCAAAATGGCTAAGTTTGTTCTCCTTCCAGTCCACGACACTCTCAATAGTTGCCTCCAGCACCACAATTCAAAAGCATCTATTCTTCAGTGGTCAGCCTTCTTTATGGTCCTGCTCTCACTTCCATACATCGCTACTGGAAAAACCATAGCTTTAATTATTCAGGCCTTTGTCGGCAAGGTGATGTCTCTGCTTTTTAAGATGCTGTCAAGGTTTGTCATCATTTTCTTCCCAGGAAGCAGGCGTCTTTTGATTTTTGTGGCTGCTGTCACCATCTGCAGCGATCATGGAGCCCAAGAAGGTAAAATCTGTCACTGCCTCCATATCTTCCCCTTCTATTTGCCAGGAGGCGATGGAACCAGTTGTTGTTTTTTTTTTGATGTTGAGCTTCAGACCATTTTTGGCACTCTTTTCTTTCACCCTCATTAAGAGGTTCTTTAATTCCTCCTCACTTTCTGCCATCCAAGTTGTATCATCTGCATATCTGAGGTTGTCTGAGGTTGAGAGTGGTCTTAACCGACCAGATAGGCGGGATATAAATAAAATAAATAAAAATAAATAA